CCAGAGTGTGAGCTCTCAGGACATCCAAGCCCCAATGGTGAATGCCCAGGAACACCTCGTAGATCCAGCCTTGAGCTCAGCGCTCTCAAACTACATGGGCCAAAGCTCGGTTTTGTGTTTGTCTGATTACCAGTCTGTCATGGACTACTAAAAAATGTAACAAAATTTAATTGTACTGGAAATTTGAAAACACAGAAAAACACAAAATGCAAGCCCAAGTTTTTACTAGATTCAAAAGTTTCTAAGTGTGTCTTCATTTCTGTACTTACCTCATGTGGAGCACATCTCCAACTGCTCTGGCTACCAGCTCATTACAACAGCTGTGGGGAGAGCCCTGGGCTATGTTTTGAAGTGGTTTTTTTTGTTTTGTTTTGTTTTTTAATTCTTACTTAAAATACTTCGTTTCTCTTAAATTAAGTCAAAACCATCATTTTGACATGTAAAGGTGTGGGAGGCCAACCTTATGGGTGACTGAGTTACACTCCCCAGCTGGGTGCTGAGGCGCTCAGTCACAGAAATGGGTGTGTCTTGCTACAGCCCCATGGGTGAAGCTATGCTCACCTGTTCCTTTGTAATATAACCCCTTGCCCTGTTTAGGATAGAATCTTCCATGGAAGTGCCTTGTGTGTGTCCCCTCCTCTTACTGTGCCCTTGGGTGTGGCCTACCCAGGTGTCAGTCAATCTGCTGACAGTGGACATCAAGAAGATAGACTCAGCCCCCTAAAACCTGACCCCTTGCCTCATTTGAATAGCTTCTCCTCAATAAAAGGGGTCAGCGCGTGCTCTCGCTCTCTCTTTCTGCGGACCCTTAAGGTCAGAGGAGCCGTCACAGCGACCCCAAAGAAAAAGGTATTTGTGTCTCTTGTGTGGTTATTTCGTGCAGCCCAGTTAGCCCAGTTTAACTAGAGTGATCCCTGAGCCTTTTAGTCGCGAGAACAGAAACCCGGCATAAAGGTGTCCACCACGTGGTCCTACCTGCCATGCTTTCATTCACTCACTCATTCTTTCAGCTGATCATGCGAGCCACCATTACTGAGTGCCTACTACGTGACAAGACCACACCAGGTGCAAGGTAACAGCTGAGGCACTGTATAGTACTCACCCCATAAAAATCTCCACCTAAAGCAAACCATCATTCAAACGTGTGCGTGACTTTTAGACTCTACAGCCTTCTCACTGCACGTCGGAGCCCCAGGACCTTCTCATGGCTGCACGAATCTGTTTTTCTGTACTATATCCAAGTATCTGAGGCAGGGTAACTTTACAAAGAGGTTTATTAGCTCAGTTTTAGAGGCTAAAGGGCCTCTGGGGAGGGCCTAACAGCATCATGGCTGGAGCACATACTATAAAACAGGAAGCCTGAAAGTGAGTCAGGGTCAGGCTCACTCCTATTGCTCCCTTGGAGCTCAGAGTCCCTGCATTAGGGTTCTCTGCAGGAACAGAATCAACAGTTGCTATGATTATAAAAAGAGGACTTATTAGGTTGGCTTATTTGACCAGAAGCTGGATAGTCCACAGTGGCCATCTGCAGGCTGGACAGCTGGAGGAACCAGTAGCTACGCAGCCCAAGAGGCTGAAGCCCCAGAACAAGAAGGATGGACAGTGCTACCCCAGTCCGAGACCAAAGGCTTCTAGAAACTCCCTGGAGAATCACTGGCAGAGTCTGCTGTAGAAGAGTGAAGGAACGAGAGTCTGATGTCCTCAGGTGATCACAGCAGCAATCAAGAACTGGTTCAAGAGAATTGAGCTTGCATCTGCAGCGGCTTCCTTGTTCTTCCAACTGTCATTCCATCCAAGCCACCATCCTATCGGACTGTGCTGCCCACACTTAGGGAGGGTCTCCACTTCAGTCCGCTATCCCACATGCCAATCATTCCTAGACACACCTTCACTGACAGACCCAGAAGCCTCTTAATCATCAGCATCTCTTAATCCAATCAAGGTGACTATTCAAACTGACCTTTAGAGCCCCAAAGAGGTACCTTCACCCCTTCTGAGGATGGCGCTCCCAGTAATGTCTGGGACCCCTATTAGGCCCCACTTCTTAAAGGATCCTTCACCTCACATTTCCTCATAGAGGACCAAGTCTCCAACATGTGAACCTTGGGGAACACACTCATACCAGAGCAATGGATCTGTTCAAATGTCAGCTAGCCCCTATGATAGTAGCTGTCATCAATTCGTCTCCTGCCATGTTCTAGATATTGTGACAGGACCATATCAGTGTTCCTAATTTCCCAGCAACCCCACAGGACTTGGCCATCCCTTTGCCATTGAACAACCTGGTTCCCTAGAAAGTTTTCTGATTCCATGATTAGACACAACCTTTTTACTTCTAAAGTCAATCTTTGCACCTCTTCTTAAAACCTTTTAATTGAATAAATGATTCAATGATTTAATTGAATTCGTTTTTAGAAAAGTTACTATTTGCAGAGCCCTATGAATATTCAGGAACTCAACATGACCATGCACCTGTTCCTAGATCACAAGAGAACCTAACACCCTGAACACCTCCTCCGACACTTCCTGTCACTCCCCTCCCCTAAGAGCAGCCACTACCCTGGCTTCCAGCTGTAAAGCTGAGTCTTGTCACTGGCTTTGTTCATTCATTCAGCTTTGTTCACTCTCATTGCAGCATCGTACTCCAACCTGAGTGTATCGTTTATTCATTCGTTGTCCTCTAGGTGGGTGGTTGGGTGGTCTCCAGTGCTGCTATAAACATTCTATCGTATGTCTGCTGGTGAACTTGGGCACGCATTTCTGCTGCATAAATAGCTGGCAATAGGAACCAATGCAACACTGGGTTTGCATTATGTCCAGGGTTAGTAGATGATAACTACTTTTAATATTCTGCACTATTTTAATCTTATTTGTGAATTTACTTCATCTGCTCTACTAAACTATAAATGGCTTTTTGATCAAATACATATTACTTATACTCTCCCACATCTTAAAATGAGGGAATCTAAAACATAAGACGGAAAACTGAAGTGAGAAAAGAGGAAGGAAACTGATAGGATAAAGAGAAGGATGAATTGAACACAATGGCCCAAATATATTTCACAGAGCTGTAGCTACTGTTAAAGCTGGACCACAAGTGCGGTTGTGCTTCCCATCAGCCAGTGCAGAGAGGGAATCAAGTTACATAAATCAATGTTCACAGGATTAAAGTACCAAGTGGGATTTTAAAAAGTCAATCTAGGTCTTCTGGGCATTGAAAAGGAAAGGGCCAAGCTTTATTTCAAAAGTAACAATAAGAAATGTCAGTTTCTCCCCTCCTGTTATAACCTCCCCCAATATGGACATACTAAAACCCTAAGATACAAGGTGTTGGGGAAAACTGGACTCCAAAGTATGGTCCAGGGACCTCTGGGAGTCTCTGGAACCTTTTCAGAGCATCTGCATGGCCAAGACCATCTTCTTGGTACTGAGAAAGATTTTGGTCTTTTTTGCTCTCATTCCCTTAGGAGAGCAGAGTATTCTAGAGACCACTTGGTGATACTGCAACAGATCGGTACAGAAGCAGATGTGGGAACTCGGCTGTCTTATTAGCCAGATGTTTAAGAAGTTTGCAAATTCTGTCTTAAGAAAATTTTCAAGCAAAAATATGCCTTAATGGGTTATTATATTTTTTTAATGATAGAATTTTTCAAAATTAATTTCTAATATAGTAAATATCTATAGACATAACAATTCACATAAATAATCACTTTAGAGTTCCTGAAAACTTAAGAATGAAAAGGTGTCCCAAGGCTAAAAAGCTGAAGAAATGCTAGTTTGATGGAAGATTTCCCCAAAGGACATTGCTTGTCAAAAATCCCAGAAGGTAAAGTGGAAAATGGTCTGTGATCCAATATATTTGGGAAATATAATGCCTCTCCTGGAAAACAAGTTAGAAGCCAATAAACCTAACCAGTGTTATAATTCTGTTTCCTGAATGGTCTTGACTAAGACACCTCTCAAGTGCTTCTATTATTATCCTCAGGGCGCACCTGGGAACTCACAGATGACTGGCAAGGCCCTCAGTCAATCCTCATGAACAGCATCTCTTACAACTCAGCTTCTGTCAAGTGTGGATAACAGTCTGAAGTTACACGTCTTGACAGCAGGAAGAGTGATTCTGTTACCAACATCAAAACGACTGGGCAGGACACACAGCTCCTTTATTTCTGCAAAGAGGTGGATTAAGGGCAGAGACAGGCCCAGGACAAAGATCCCACTCAGGAAACCAATCTAGGTCTGTTTCCTCAAAGACAGTCAATCAAGGCCCCACAGCTCTCCTCTGCAGAAGTCACAGTCATGTTAGCTTAGACATCTTTCAAAGCAGATGGTACCAGGCACTTGCCTTAGTCACAACAAAATATCAAGCATCTGCAGAAGTTTGGCTTTAAGTTCTGTAACTTCTTGGTGACCTCTCCAAGGAAAACAGAGCAAATGTACCCCTAATTAGTCAACTTCCTCTGTTGAGTTGTTAACTGCAAGTCAATTAAGTGTTGGGGAATACTTACCAAAAATGATGACTTTGGTTTTGGACATATCAATCTTATTTCTTTTTGACAATAATTATATAATTGGGCCAGTTGTCTGTTAAGAAAATGCTAAGTTCACAATCATAAAATTAACCTCGTCAATAATCTCCTCTGAGGAGAGCCTACAATAATATGCAAGGCACCACGACTCTTCAGAAGCATGCAATCTCATAAGGGGCTACGAGGGCACAAGGACAGGACACTAAAAATAAAAGGAAAGAAGGAAAGGAATGGAAGGAGGGAAGTGCAGAAAGAAGAAAAAAGAATCAATTCTCACTTTCATTACTGCAGCACCTGGGAAGGTACCTGCAGAGAATTCAATGTTTGTCTCAACAAATGTGCTATTTACCTTTAAAATGTTCACTTATAATGCAAACAAACAGGTGAACACTTCACAAATGTCTAATCAAACAGTACTTCTTGGTGTATAATTTAGTTTACAAAAAGATTTATGAAAAAAATAATACACCATTGCAAAGTAAAAATAAATCATTTTAATAGACACATTTTCACTTTTGTTAATTCACCACTGATTTCTTCTACACATGCGCACTGGTCTAGTTTGATTCACTTTGCATTTTTTTTTTCTAACATGGAGTAATCTTTTAACAAGAGATGGTTGAGATGAATGGGGTATTTTTAAAATGCACAAAGTACCTTGTCCTCAAAGAGCTTTATCAACTTGACCATTTTCAAAGAGCCACAGGAGGCAGTTCAAAATCTCTCATTTGGAGGGGCAAAGAGGCGTGGACCTCCTTAAGCCCACGAGTTCTATGCATTTGCAGCACAGCTCGGCTAGTGATGAAGACTCAGTGACGAGCAAATCTCCTGCAAATGGCCTTGCAAGAGTGCAACAAAGTCAGCCGAGTCATGAAAACCTTCCTAATGGTGTAGTGTGTTCCAGGATTTTTCTGATTCTTGAGGGAATGTCAGTCCTTGTGCACAGTCTTTATTACAGGCCTCTTACTGACAGCTTTCACTTTCTCCTCCAGCCATCTCTCTAGTGAGGTGGTTTACTCTATCAATGCTGAGTCAAAAGCATGCAGATGTCTCCTTCCACAATCAAAGCTGGTGGTGGCCTTCTCATTTCCTGCCGAAGGGATCAGACCACACCTTCAACCCTATAGGAAGAAACATGAATATCTCAAGATATATTATAAATGTCCCAGCACCCCCTCAAATCCAAACCAACAAAACGACATCCATGGCACTGAGTAGTGCGACTCCCATGGGGTCTGAGAGCAAGAGCCAGTTGCTGGAACCCAGGAGTGAAATGACTGGGAAGCCACCCAGCCACACGGCAGCCACAAGGGGCATCTAAACAGCTCAGAAATCGCCCCATAACAGGAAGATACAGATCTGGCCTAGTTAACAAATAAAGAAAGAAAGAATGTTGCCACAGATTATGAGAGTTTTGGTTAATAAGCTGGAAACCTCTCATTCTCAGCCAACTTGGATCATCTTAAAGGACTGACCTACTCAGCCATGAAGGGAGCTTTTTTGGGCTTTTGCATAAAGCCCAATCCCACATCAATTAAAATAGCTCACAAGTAAATGCGATTTTCCTGTGAGGGCAGGGTTTAAATAGGTACATGGTAAATACTTCTGCAAAACAGCTACCCATGCTTCCTGTTTAACTGTATACTTGTTACATTCTTACGCTTATTTATCAGATGCAACAGAGGGACCCGCAAACTTGCAATAAGTATTCTGCAGTGAAATCTGAAAATGAAGTCTTAGATAACAGCTATAAAAAAAATGGCAACTATTATGAAGTAAGTAGCAAAATCACAATCTAGTTTCTACACCTTCTCGCCCCTCCATGGCAAAGCCCACACAAACCACACAGCACAAAGGGACCAGGGGGACTCCGTTTGGATTGGTTTTTCTTTAGTTTACCTGGTGGCTGCACATCTTCTTGAACAATACCAGCCCGATTTATGGCCTGTTCCTTCTCTGAGAAACACAACAGAACAATTACTCTTCAGGAGGAGGAGAGAGAGAAATCTTTGTATTTACATCAGCCTATGACATGGGACAATTAGCAACAATATTTATGTGTTATTAAATTCAGAGATGTGGCTACTCAAGGCTTTTAGGTTGTGGAAGTAAGATCCTATAATGCAAAAAGATGGGGTATTTTCAATTAAAAAAAAAAAAAAAAGCAAGCTCCCACTTCAAAAGAAAAGCTCCCAACTAACATCTTTTTCCTGTGATCTCAGCATTTTGGAAAGGCAACAAAACAACAGAAAAAGAACAATTTTGAAAGAACTGGTGGGCGTGATATTACAAGCGGAAGGCTGCTGAAATGAAGGAACAAGTACAATTAACAAGAAAATGATGTCGTTTGTATGTCTAAAACGCACTCCACTGAAGGACTAGACGCAGAGCTAAATATGCTATGTTTTTGATAGGAAATAGAGCAGAAAATTAATCTTTGGGTGGGTGGCTTTGGTTTGGATAATTGAAGCTTCCCTAATTGATTGCAGGTGCTGTGCCAATTAGCAAGCGCGTTGTAGCTAGGCGGCGAAGCTGATCTCTTTGGAGATGTCCAACAGGCCAGGGCCAAGAGAAATTGGGCATTTTATGACTGTGGGCTTCAAGAGCTCTGACACATCTTTCTAAGTGGTTGAGAATAAACCCGAGGACTGTGACAACAAAAGACTTATTATTTTAAGTATCTTGACAAACAAATGGGAGCTTTTTAGAAGAAAGACTCAGGGAGCCAAAGAATGTTTACTACTAAATTATAGTAATTAAATGTTGTAATCAGACCTCTGTTTTAATCAGACAGACAAGCATTTCTTTAGTCCACATTTAGCTCTTATTTAATATTAGGCTATTTTCTTTATTTTGGCCTCTGGATTCTCATAAAGTTACACAAGCATAAAGGTACAAGAAGCAGGGTTTTCCCCAGTCTTAAGATTCACTGAACTTGCTTCTAAGTGATATGACAGAAAGCCAATCCTAAATGACCAGATAGTTTTATCAGCGCTAAGTATTGCTTTGGCAAATAAAACACTGGGCAATGGAGCTGATGGGGATCTTGGTATCCAGTTCTAAGAAGGGGAGGGAGAAGACACCAATTAGAGACAATGGCCTGGTTGCCTTCCCACCTCTGAAAGCAGCAGGTGGCTAACCAAGACCCTCTGAACCTAGATATGCCAAGAGACTTTTTCCAACACAAGTGGGTGATAAGGGGCCTCTAAGGTGTTAGACTTTCTGAGATAACACAAAAGGTGTTCTCATTGCCTAGACAGTAACCCTTGTAGGACTGAGCCCGACCACACTGGCCATATGTAAATCTCAAAGTATGGATGTCCCAAACATGCTCGAGAAAATGCCAACTCATAAAAGATCACACACACTGTCATCAGTCTTGCCAGGAACAAAACCCGATAATTTTCCAGATCTAAAAGGCCTATTCTCTGATATAATGAAAGAGGGCAGAGATGCCTTTTGAAAGATAATTGTCAGAAGGTATTTGAGATGTACAAATTTAAGAAAAGCAGTCACCCTGGTACACCGGAACATTCTTTAGCAGGTATTGCGACGCCAAACACGCTGGCAGACTGCCAAGCATGAGAGGAAGCCAACTTCGGGTGGCAGGGACAGAATGCCTAATTGTGTTCTAACCTCTTATGATGCAATGGAGAATCAAGTGAAGAGAAAGGAATCCCTGTCTCCACACTTTCTTGCTAACTGCTAATGAGGCTGGAAAGAGGCTGAGGATTTGTTTTAAATAGACCATAATCTCTTTCTAATCCTTGTCCTAATGCAGACACCTCTGCAGTCTGGCCTGGACAGGCATTTCAACCAGTCCCTACCAAGCAATACCCAGGTATTAGCATCCTATCTACATCCGCTGGTTCTTTAATCCATTAATGTTTTATAAATACTCTGAGGCCAAAGCAGTCTTATGTAAATTCATGATTCCACACAAAGACACCTTATTTGTGAATGCAGAATATGCTAAAAGGAAGACAGAAACTCAAACTCGTTCTCTCAGGATTTAGCCAGTACAACTTGATGAGGTGGACAGATTTCTATTATCACTGGAGAAATCGCAAATTTATAAAAACCACAGGAAAAGGGCAATGGTGAAAGCCAGGGATTTAATGGCATGGACAAATAAGCTAATTACTGACTTTAGTCATGAGCATGTTTCTATCCTGAGTGAAATGATTAAAAGCCAACTATGGGACTCTGGGTTGGAAAAATTCCCCACTCTGGTGTCTCAGCAAGCCCGACTCTGCCCCCTGGTGCTAAGGCAGTGGTTTGATTTGTAGTTTTAATTGAGAATCCTTATCTCTAGTCAAAGGGCCAAGCCCTATTATTAAAGTTGTTTACACATGCAGGTGGCTGATTTCATACAGTAGTAAGAGAATCCACCTAATAATTTTAAGTCTTTGAAAATGAAAACATATCCTTATATTAAATGTCCATATTAGAAAATAAATCTAGTGTGTGACTTGTTACTATATTTAACGTTGACAGTCCTACAAACAAATGCAATATATTTAAGGGCCAGTTCCCTCAGCAACCTGGGAGCTACTAGCTAGGGGTGCTCTAAGGAAAGAGTAGTGGGAAGACAGAAATAGGTACAAAATAGGACCTTGGCAATCTCTCTCCCCCCCCATCTTTTCCTGCCAATTATGAGTTGAAATAAAGCAACTCATAATGTGACATCACTGGAAAAAATGCTAAATTTGTATATGGATATGCATTAGATGCTAACATTGTTATCAATATTGAATTTCCTGGATTGGAAGACTACTGTGATTAGGTAAGAGAAGGTCCCTGTTCTTAGAAAGGCTAAAGTGTTTAGGAACAAAAGCTCACACTGTCTTCAATTTTGTCTCACAGAGTTAAGCAAAACAGTAGCAGTAATTGTAATACATACGTAACTATAACTGTGTGTGTAAATACCTGTATGCATGTGTGTATTACCTACAGGGGAGAAAGCAAATGCGGCAAATGTTAACCACTGGTGAGCCTCGGTGAAGGACAGAGCAACCTACTGTACTATTCTTGGAATTTTTCTGTTAGTTTGGGTTTTTCTTATTAGAAAAAAAAAAAAGCAAGAGTAAAACACACATATAAGAAAGCCCAACAACAGTGAGACTGTTCCATGTTGATTAATTCAAAGTAATCCTTTAAAAACACAAATTTTTAGAAAAGATACTTTGTGTTCCCATTCTGCTGTGGTGTCTGGCACACACCCTGCTGCGGGGGAGTCCAGAACTGGAAGCACGCGTGACCTGAAGCTAAGGGGAACCAAGTGGCCCTAACAGCAGGCGTGAACCACAGGCCAGGGACACACCACACCACAACAGCAGCAAATGAGAACAGAGGCTAACAGGAGCAAATGGCAGTACTAGCAAGTGTGAACCAGAGGCCAAGAGCCCAGATGGCCACAAGAGCACCTGTGAGCCAGAGGCTGAGAAGAATCCACCCGCCACGATAGCTGTGTGAACTAGCTGGGTGAAGGGAGCCAAAGGGCCACCTGAATCACAGGCTCCTTCTACACTGTGAACTATTGGGGGGGGTGGGGGGCCTTCGCAACACCAGCGAGAATCCAAGGCTGGAGTCTGTGAGTGTCGGCTGGTTATAAGGTAAGAGGAATGAAGAGCACTTTCTAAGCCCTAGCATGTGATGGGAAATGCCCTTGCAAGGCAAGAAGGTTTCCACATCAATGGATTTCCTGCACCTTGTTCTGAAACGGGGCAGCAGGGTGCAACCCAAGAATGGGACTGACTCTGGAACATGTTTCATTGTCTTAAAGACACTGTGACAAAGCATTAGCAGACAAGGGTGGGGGAGTTGGGGTCTGGTGTCCACTCAGCAATTAACATGCTGGGTGACCTTGAATGAGTCACCCAAATGAAGGAATGGATGAGTTAAGCTTCTTCTGGCAAAAAAAAAAAAAAAAAACAACCCTGATTTTATGCTTATGCACATCTAATTAAAATTAAAAATGAACACGGTCATGAAAATGATTTTTCATTCTCAGTTTACTACCAGCTGGTCTCAATGCCTAAAATGCATGTTCTTTCTAAAAGGCCATGTTCAGGATCACCGCCTGGTTCTAGAATTCAAACAAATTAGGCTTCTAGTTCCAGCCATCTGCACCGTTCCCTAAAAGTGCTCTTTAGACAAACCACGCTATGCAACAGGATGAAAGCTGAAAGCAACGTCCAGGGCTCCTGCCAGAGAACAGCAAACCTGGAACCACACTTCTGGTTTGGGATCACTGACCCCCAAGGCCAACTGCCACCTCCCCAGTGCTCACCGCAGTACTTGAGTATCAGCTACAGAACTGACCATGTTCTTCATGCAACACTGGGCAAAGTCTTGCTGAGTTAATGAAGGAGCTGCGGATGCACTGAATGTCAACATGAAGTCCTGTAAGGCACGCTGTGACAGTGGCCGCTGATTGGCAAACACAGAAAAGCTCCTTGGCTCTACTTTACCCAAGTACTCTTTTGCCCCTTTTCTGCTTATTCCAGCAGTGACCTTGGAACATTCCTGTCCCCATACTCCCCAAACCCCAACTGGCCCCACCAAAGGATCCAAAGTGACCTGATGTTCCAGCTCATGGCTGGGGCTTGTTCTCTGCAAGCTCTGGCTTCAAATCCTGTTTTTCACTAGTAATCCAGTTTTCAGGTACTGGGCTCCTGCCCTAACCTTCCAAGAACTGTGGCCTTCTCCTCAGTATGCCCCAACCCTGAGGAACAGAGGGAGCTGGTAGAAGAGGTGGCCAAGACAGTTCTGTGCATGAGATTAGGAGTTCATACCAACTCTCCTCGAGGACTGTCTCTGTCCAGTACCTTCCCTGACCCAGTCTCTCCTGGCTCCCCATCCCTCCCAGCAACAGTGGAGGTAAAACCATTCTCCCTAGATCAAGGTACCTTTCACAATTGGGGCTAGGTAATCCTTTGCCACAGGGGACTGTCCTGTGCACTGCAGAAGGGTATTCTGGCTTCTATCCAGTAGATACCTGTACTACACTCCCCCACTCCTGCCCTAGTTGTGAGGACCAAGATGTCTCTAGATAGGGTCAAACGTCCTCGGGGACAAAAACATTCCCAGTTGGAAACCACTGCTCTAGTCTTCACAACTGAAACTTTTGGGGTTTTTTTTTTGGAACTGGGGACTGAACCCAGGGGCATTGAGGCACATCCCCAGCCTTTTTTCATATATTATTTAGAGACAGGGTTTCACTGAGTTGCTTAGGGCAACTTTAGTTGCTAAGATGCTGAGGCTGGCTTTGAACTAGCGATCCTCCTACCTCAGCCTCCCAAGCTGCTGGGATTACAGGTATGCACCACAATGCTGGATGCTGGCTCTGAAACTTTCTAATGGGACCAAAGCAGACACTTTGTCCCAAGTTCAATTCTACAGGATGTAAATAAACGGAAGCAGATTATGCAGACCCATATTTACTCCCAGTTAGGGGCATGCAGACAGGCTGGAAAGCAGAACGTACAGAGGCCATTTCAGACCTGGCCGATGAAAGCAGCTACAAGGAAACTGGAGTGTGTACTAAATGCTCTGCCTCCAGAAATCAAATGCTGTAGCATCTGTAATGGGCCGAACATTTACATGGAGCTTTTGCCTTCAAATCACCAAGCTTTCAGCCTCCACTAATATTCTCCAGGGGCAGGACTGGCCCTCTTCCATCTTCAAGATGATTCAGGTTTCCTGGAGAACAAAATGAGCCTCTAATGCTTAATATTTTCTCTCTGACAGATGGTTTCAGATGTATCAAAGTGCTAATCCTTGCTGAGGTATAGGTCTCAAGGAAGGAGAGTTTGGCTTTTAGAATGATAGGACTTGAATGATTAAGGAGGAAAATTACTCCCAGGATATTCACCATTGTCATGTGAGCAACCAGCTTAAAATGAAGGAAACCAGTGCAATCTGAAAAACGATTTGAGGAAGAAAAAGAGAGAAAAAAGAAAAAAAACGCTAAAAAACCAGGTTAGCAGCTTAAGTTTGAAATATTTCCACTCAAAAACATCTTTGGGAATGGAAATGAAGGGCAATACCAACACCTTTCAGCTCAGGATGAGGGGAGTTCCATCTGCCTCCCTGCTATATCACCATTCCCAGCCTGGGTGTATGGAAGAGGTTGCAACAGAAGCCTGGGTTAGAATATCTGCCTTGCCACTTACTGTGTGACCTTGGGCAAGTTATACCACCTCTCTGGGCTTCAGTTTCCCCATCTGTAAAATGGGTGATAACTTCTACTTCAAGGGAGGTTGTACAAATTAAATGATCCAACCTACACCTAATCTGACATAGCATATTAAACCTTGTGTTAACTATGAATGTGAATCAACATTAGGTTGACCTACTATGTGCAGACTGATTTCATATATCTCATCATCTCTGAAGCTCCCAAAAGCTGACTACTGATGGTGCAGAGACACCTCAGAAGAGAAGGCTGAGGATCTGAGAGGTTGAACCACTTGGTCGCAGTCACAAAGCTGTATGCTGCGGGGTTCGAACCTGGCTCCGCCCGACTCAGCCCAGCTCTTTCCAAGACACTAAGTGGAACTGACTGGTCGGGTGGGGGTGAAGGGGGTAGTGACTGGGGCCAGAGGTCACTCACGGTACTCCTCCAGCCTCATTAGGGGCCGGAAGTAGATGGGGTAGAAAGCGGCGCCGACCAGGGAGACGAAACCGCCGAAAATCAGCGCGGTGCGCAGGTTCCGGGACATGTTGCCCGGCGGGGGCTGCCCAGACCCACGAGGGCACCCTCACCCTCGGAAGCCTCGCTCTGCCCGCCCAGGCCGCGACCCGGCTCGGAAGAGGCGGAGCCGCTTTCGCTTCCGGGCCTTGGGTCGGGGCGCGGGGTGGAGGCGGAGCTGGGGAGGGGCGGAGTCGGGGTGGAGCCGGGGCGGGGCCTAGGGTGGGCGGGGACTGGGCGGGGCCTCGGGCCCGCAGCCGCCCTCCCCTCTTTGCCCGACTGCCCCTGGCGCGGGCCGAGCGCGAGGGCTGGGTTGCTGCCAGGGCTCTTGTTGAGCTTCATCCCCCGCGGAATCTCACCGGCCCTCTTCCCTGCCGGGGGCCGGGCTCCACTTTCCACCGCTCCACTCACCACCTCCAAACCTCACTCCCTCCACTACCAACCACGCCCTCTTGTCCTTCCGCACTTGTCTGTCATTTAGTGAACGTCTGCCACGAGCTGGACCATCTCTACAGCTCGCTGGTTTAATCCTCAAGTCAGCAGGCTCAGTTTACCGGTGAGGGGACCATGGCTGCATGCACAGCTTCAGACAAGTCCCTGGGCTTCCCTGAGGGTCCCCTGCTCTCCCTGTTCCCTGTACTGAGATATCAGGATTCCTGAGGACGATAGGAGATAAATGGGGATCTGAAAAGGGCAGAGAGCCAGCAGCCAGTCCTAGGGATGAGACCATGGGGCTCTGGCTCATTGCCTTAGGTGGAGGCCACTGAGGACAGACTTCTGCTTCCTCTTCTGTGATTGCCATCCTCTGCACCTGTGCCCCTTACAGATGTGCTGTATCTGAACACCTCCTGCCCAAGGGGCCTTCGCCCAATCCTTTGTAGATAGACATGATGCCAGCAGCTGGGGCTGGGAAGCACAGGGGATATTTATCTTGACCCCATTATGTAGTCCAGAAAAGTAAACTGAGCCTACTGATTCGAGGATTAAACCAGCGAGCTGAGAGATCGTCCAGCTCGTGGTAGACTTCACCATCTTTTCGAAATGGTGTGGAGATCTACAGTTTCCTCTGTCTTTGAAGTTTGGTAGTTGAATCAAGCTACCATCTACTGTTGTAGCTCTGGAAGCATATAAATCAGCTGTTTGATCTGTTGGCAGATTTATAGACTATTCGCTATGCCCCAAACACCAGGCAAAGTGCCATGGGGGACACAAGATGAATAAGATGTGACCCCTGCTTTCCAGGATCCTGCCACAGAACATATACATGAAAAGATAAATAATGATCAACACAGCCCATTGCCGATGAGTGATACAGGCCTGCGGGCTACGGAGTGCAGACGGGGAAGACAGATGATTGTGTAGTGAGGTGGCTGCTCCTCAGGCACCTGCGGGAGCTTGTTGGATACGCAGAAAAGTCTTCGCGGCAAAGAGGGAAGCTGTGATACATGCTTTACATCACATGACAGAAAACACCCAGGTGTAAGGGGCATTTGTCATTTTAGCACCCAGGATCCACCTCCCGTTTTCCCAATAATAGTGCCCCAATATCTTTTGGGAAACCACTCCCCTCACACTCCTGGTCTGCTCCTCCCACCCCCACTGCCACCATCCTACTTCTTCCCAGCTCTGAAAGTTAAGCGCATTGCCAAGCCCAGCCACGCTTCCTTGCCTGTGAGTAGGGAACAGACAGATGAGGATGGTGGGAACACTAGGTTAAGAGAATAATTTCATAAAATGGGCCCACTGTGCTGACCCCCACATGCTTTCTTTTTCAAGAAGCAATTTACCTGCAGCCCTGCCTGGCCTCAGTGGACAGGATATGTCACATTCCTCAGCAAATTACTTGTTATCTACAGGAGAAATGCAGGCCCAAAGTAATATTGATAAGAGGAATCCAAGTTACCCTGAAGGAGACTTTTGTGACCAGATCCTGAAACTCTGGGAGAGAAGGATAGTTTCTCCTAACCACAAAAATCTTTAAGAATATATGGTTAAGAATCCAATTAGAACGATTCAGCATGGGACCAGGTGACCTAAAGTTGCTACAACAGTGGGGACTTGAAAGTCTGATGGCACCCTGCTGTCAGTCAAAAGTCTGGAGGTGGACCTGTACAGGACTCTCTGGAAACTTCTCTGGGATCCCCAATAAAACTGGAGCACAGGAGAGGCACATTGACCCTCCTCTCTGAGAGGACCCACTCTTTCCCTTGAGTGTCCCCTTTCCCATTTCCTGATCCCTTCAATAAACTCCTTCCTATTATTCTAAGTGACATGTCTGAAATCTTTCTGACTTGATCCCAAGAATCAGAGTTTGAAGAGAGTTTTTGCTCTGCCTCAGTTTCTTGGGAGACCCCCAACTCCATAATACATAGATTGTTTGGCATAGGATTGAGGCCAATGCAGTTCATCTTCCTGGTCATATAACCCACATTAGCCAACCATACTCTATCTCAACTCTACTATAGCTGGACCTGACCTTGAGGGCATGAGATATAGTAGCTACAAAGGAATGAGGGCACAATTTAGGGACTAAGAATGAAATCGATACAGCAGGAGAGCTGAGAGATGGACAGAAACCAGATGCTCATTGTGCACTTGAGCCGGCTGTACCTGAAACAGGCTACCCCTAGGTTGCTCAGATGAGCCGTCACATCTCCCTTTTATAGAAGCCAGTAGAAGTTGGGCTGTCTCTTTCCAAACAGAAGATGAAATATCCATGGATGTGGTTTCACTTGATTCACACTTCTATGAGAATTTGAGGCAAAGTTTGCTCTATTGTCTAGACCGCGTCACTGAGAGCCGGAGAATGGAGCTCTTTCAGGGTTCAGGGATCAGGGATTCCTGATACCTCTGTGAGTAAGCTTGGAAGAATAACCAACCAAGTGCCACCCACCAACCAGTCAGAATGGAAGAGACTAGGATAATGGGACATTCTGATGACTACCTCGCAGGCTGAGACAGGACATTGTGGCAGATGAGCCACCCCCTCTCAAGGTAATGTGGCAAGTGACTAGTGGCTTCTCTGTCTTCATCATAATGACCTGAAAGCATTAACTGTCCAGCAGAAATGAGTACCCCCTCTATGTCATTAGAATCTATCATTAGCCTTACCACACCAGAACACCGTTACTTACCACTTGCCAGCCACCAGATCCCCAAACGCAGCTTCTCTTCTTTGATCCCAATGTGCACAGGTTTATTTAGAATATCACACTCCCCTGGTTTTCCATCACCCACCATCCTATCAATTCCATCAGCAAGTAGTTCTTGTGTGCCTCCTCGGGGCAGAGCCTTGGAGTAGTTGATCTCTCATAAAGACAGCTCAGGAACATTCTTGAATTCTACAGTGGCTCCCTGAGCCCTATCCAGCGTGCCAGAAGCTCAGGTGTTGGGGGAGGCAGCAAAGAAAGCAGCAGTGTCTGCTGTCCACGTGGCATCCCAGCCTGGTGGAGGGAGAAGATGTGGCAGCCTAGTGACTGCTGCTTGACCCTCTGCCTCACCGGGTAGCAGCTCCTGGTGTATTTTGGAGAATGACTCTTCAGGCCGGCCTTCCTGGTTGGCCAGCAAATCCTGCACTGGGGGCACTGCTCATGCAGTAGAATACTAGTGTCAGGACCTGCAGGACCCTTGCCCTGTGCAGTCACGAGGATAATTGACTCCTTCAGAGCAGGAGGCTGGGGCATAGCAAAAGTGGCTTGCTCAAGGTCACATGGCTTGTAAGTGGCAGAGTGAGGGTTCAAACCTGGTTGCAGAGACCAGTTCTTAACCCCTTATCTAAACTACCTTGCACAGTCAGTGAGCCTGTGTTGTGGGGTATGGGCATGGCCCAACCAAGTCCTATTCATCTCTTTCTCCCAGAATTCAGACGACAGTGCCACAAATATAGGTGGCGTTGTCACAGCGAATTAATCCCATTGCTAATGTTCTGATGAGCTTGTGGCCCTCTCCTGCCTGCCTAGGCCCTTGGAACCTCTTTTGCAGGGTGATTCTCAAGTGATCATGATGCTCTGCAGGACTCCCATGTGTTTCCAGTAAACTGTGTTTGAACTTAAGATGGTCAGAGCCAGTTTCAGTTTACGCCGCCAGGAGCCCTAACAGAGACAGAAATCAACACGATTACTTAGGACATATGGCACAGATGCTGGCTTGGGGCTTCTGAGCTGTGCTAATGTTTGGTAAAGCCAAAGGAAGTTTGGGTCTGGGGGAGGTACTTCTGTGGAGGGGGAGAGTTGGAGAGAAGATGTAAGTCAAATATGTCAGGCCCCCTAGGGTGCATATTTTCATCTCAATCACTGAAAAAAAAATTGGTTTGGGCTCCTACCCGGCACTTTCTCCTTCTTCCCTTGGATGTGAAGATTGAATGCTTGCAGGGAGCAGACCGCCGGTGGTGTCTTGCAAGGGGTGCAGACAGACATCAAAGTTAATCCGCTCTCTGATCTAAGCAAAATGGTGACGAGGGTTTCCTGGGACAGCAGCTACACTAATTGTGGCACTGCAGCCCTGCAGATATATTTTTAGAATATTGTGGATTCCTAAGAAGAATCCTTCCTGGCTGTGGGAAAACAGCCTGGACGCTTCAGATACGGAACAGCAAGGTCTCATGCAAGATTCTCCAGGCCAGAGAATAAGAAATAGGGAAACTGCTTACCTGTTTTTATGGGGTGCTGTGGCTCCCTGAGTCTCTATTTATCTGTGAAAGTATTTCCAGTTTAGACCACTTGTCTAGTTTTTCTTCTTTTGCCTGCCCTTTCCATGTAAGAGATATCCCCAGGTGTCTGTCTTCACTCACCCCCTACCATGCTCTGCACCTGCTAGCTTTAACTTGTGTCTTTATGATTCCAGAGAGTTCAGACTCAGTTTTCTACTGAATTCACATGCCGAGTGACAGCTTCAGGTTCAAGACCACTTCCTCGCTCCTCTTCCCCATCAGGTTTGATCCCAACAGGGTTGGTGGCCTTATCTGCTCTCCCTGGTCATGACTTCCTAACCATTCTTGTACACAGCACCTTCTTCTATCACTAAATTATTCATTGGGGTAGCTGTGTTAGTCTGTATTCTGCTGTTCTAACAAAATACTTGAGACTGAGGACTTGATAAAGAAAATAGATTCATTTATCTCATAGTTTGGAGACTAAAAATTCAGTTTAGGCTCCAGTGAGGGTCACAACGGTGAGAGGACCTGTTAAAAGTAACCACATAGTGAAACAAGAAGCCAGAAAGTGGAGAGAGGCAAGTCTCACTCTTTTATAACTATAACTAACTCACTTCTCAAGAGTCATGTTATCAGTTCTTCCAAGGGCAATGTCCCCAATGACCATTCACCTCTTAAAACTTTCACTACCACCTAACATCACCACATTGAGGACCATGCTTCTATTTGAGTCTATGGGAAACATAGTCAAACCAGATCTAAACCATAGCAGTAGCTAAAGTCATCTTTTGAAAACACAGACCTGTTCCATGACTGCCCTGCTCAGAAGACTTAAGCATCTCCCTAGGGTAGGATTCCCTCAGCATGGCCTCCAGACTACAGCCAACAGGTCTTGAAGACACCTGCTCCTCCATGCACCTCTGCTGAGTGAAACAGTACTTCTCCACAGCTAGGCGGCCATGCTCTGGGCCTGTGGCCACTGCTAACTGAGTCAGCATGGGCATCTGACCCACAACACTGTCCAAGGGCCAAACCTTGGGCTCCATGGAGAGTGGGCCCACGCACTCGGGAGTCTCCATCTTGGAATTTCACCTGGAAAGCCAGGGAGGAGGAGGAGGAGGAGGAGGCCGCAGGAGCAGAAGTTGGACAGATGCAGGGAGAGGAGGAGCAGTGTGCGGGGGGCTGTGAGAGAGCCGGGTTATGAGTCAGTAGGAGCTGGGAGGGAAGAGCTCTCACTGAGTTGATGGCGCGGGATTGTCTGGAAATAGCAGGAAGCAGAGAACGATGGAGGAGAATTAAAATGAAGATCCACAAATTCCTCCTGCCGGAGAGTAACAGATACCTTAAGCCCTAGGCTGCCTGTGATTCATGTATTCATTCATCGTTTTCTACCATTTGTGTCGGGCACTGCTCCATGCCAAGAACTTCTCCAGGCATTAGACAAAGGCGTCACCGTCACGGAGTATACAGTCCAGCTGGGGAGGCAACGATAGAGGTTTCAAAGGTCAATGATAGGGAGTCCTAATTTCTGGGAAGAAAGTAGAGCAGGCCAGGGGGCTGGGGGGGGCAACCAGCCTTTAGGAGATGCCAGAGTACCCAATGAAGAAGAGCTAATCCGCTCTCTGAGCTAAGCAAAATGGTGACGTGGTATTTAGGACCCAGATGGAGAGACCTATGAAAGCAAGAACAGCTTGGAGTCAGGAATGGGCTTGCTCTTCAGGGATGACCAAGGAGTCACGGTGACCGTAGGGGAGTGAGCAAAGGGGACACCGAAGGACAGTAGGCCGGGGCAGGAGACCCATTGCCAAGGGCCTCACGAACCACGTGAAGGTCTTGGGATTTCCTGGTGCCTGAGATGGGAGCCACCAGGGAACCACCTGAGATGGGAGCCACCACAGCAACCTTCTGGTTCTGGCGTCTCTCTGACAGGTCCAGATGCTTTGTGGGTTGTGTTCTCTCCACAGCTCGCTGCCTCCCTGACCCATAATGTCCCGTTGTTTCCCATAAGACCCCTTCACCCAGAAGAGCAAGAATAAGTTTTGCTTACTGATAACCAAAGAGAAGGTCCTGAGGCCACCTGGTCTGGCCTGACCACCTCCCAGCTTTCCTTCCTTCCTCTCAGCGAACATGGTCCGCCCACAGCTCATGTCTGTTTGAGGGCAGCCTCTGGGTTTCCATGCTCACTCTTTCTTCTCTCTGGAATAACTTCCTCCCAAGAGCCTCCCGAGAGTCACCTTCCTATCCAAGGACACTCTCAAATCCCACTTCTCTAGGAGCCATCCCATTATTACCTGATGTGATATTAACTCTTCTTTCCTAAACTCCTATTTGGATCATCCATGGCTGCATAACTAACTGCCCCAAACTAACTGCTTAAAAATAACGACGATTCAGCTGGGCACTGTGGTGCACGCCTGTGATCCCAGTCACTCGGGAGGCCGAGGCAGGAGGAGCACAAACAATTCAGCAAGACCCTGTCTCATAAAAGTAAAAATAAAAAGGGCTGGGGATGTGGCTCAGTGGTAAAGTGCTCCTAGGTTAAATCTATGGTGCAAAAAGAAAAAACAAAAAAAGTGACAATGATTTATTGTCTCTTACAGTTCTGTTGCCTGACTGGACATTCTTCCAAAACACAAAGTGTGGCTGGGTGCTGGGACCGCTGAAGTCATCTGGGGGCTCGGCTGGCTGGACTGGCCAACTGAGCTCACTCCTGCAACTGATGGTTGATGCTCACTTGAGGTGTCAACTATATCACACATATGTGACATGTCTCAGGATGGCAGCTTGCGTCTAAGAGGGGGCACCTCAGAGAATCAGGAGCCTGATGGCTTAGCCTTGGGGGTCACCCACAGTCACCACCACTGCATGCTGTAGGGACCAGACCAGTTTCAAGGGAAGGGGAAGGAGACACCACCTCTTGAGGGGAGCAGTGACAGGGAACCTGGCCTCTGTCCTCACTCTATTACGGTGTCCTCACTCTATTATGGCTCATGGTGCTTTTTCCATTATTCCAGTTACGGTGACTGTGACTGTTCGCCTTGTATAGCAGTTATTTAGTGTCTGTCTCACAAGGTTTTAAGCCCCAGATGAGACACCGTATTTTATTTAATCCAACGCTTTCAATGTAATAACCACACAAACAACAAACAGTAATGAAGTCTTTCCGCTCTGCACGGTGACCTCAACTAATATCACACACGATCGCTTCCAATCTCTACCCTGAAGGACAGACATTAGCACTGTTTTACAGATGGGGAAACTGAGGCCCGAGGAGTCAGCCTCGCCCAGATCCACAAAGTTCATAAGTGGCAGAGTCAGGATTTGAACCCTGGGTTCTTATTCTCGCTCTTCTGATGTTCACACTGTGACACTGTCCCAGTCAGTTGGGCTGCAACACCAAATCACCAAAATTGGCTGCCTTTAAATAACAGAGGTTTATTTCTCACCATTCTGGAGGCTGGAAGTCTAAGATCAAGGTGCTGCTAGATCCCACGCTGGGTAAAGGGTTTGCAGATGGCCACTGTCTCTTTGTAGTTTCATCAGGCAGAGAGAGAGAAAGTAAAAGAGCCCTTTCCTGTTTTCTTTTTTAAGGGCACTAATCCCAGTCTGAGAGCTCCACCCACATCACCTGATTACCTCTTAAAGGGCCACCTCCCAATATAATCATATGGGGGGGGGGGGGGGACTAAGACTTCTGAAAACTGGGGAAAAGAGGACACACACAAACATTCACGCCATAGCAGGCACCAAGGCAAGGTGCACAAGTCAGTCTACATGGATTTACTGAAGTGTCACCGGGCGGAAGAACAAAGACCACAATATGGAGAGCGAGAGGGAGCTGGAGTTATCAGCCCTTGCTACAGGCGCCTGGGATCAAGGCACTGACCAGAGTTTCAGTGCTGAACATCCTGAGGCAGTCCTCTAATCTGTGCCGCGTTTGGGAGCTCCACAAGGAATGGGAGTATTTATTGGATCTCAGCGCCTGATGCAAAACTTTCCTCCAAAATTCCAATTTTCTCTCTGCCAAGATAAGTGATGGAGGCTTATGGTTCACGTAGCACATCTACCCGGGCCAGGGCCTAACCACTCTGAATTTCTGGCCTCCTTCCTCCCAGCTAGAAGTGAATCTAGATTTAGTTGCCATTAGGAACAAGCGCCATCTCCCCGCTTGGTGAGGTGGTAGTTTTAGAAGATTCTGTTTTTATCGTGAGAGTATCAATCTGCGCACACAAGGCCACGCTCTGTGAAGAAGGCAATACTAAGATAAGTGGAAACTTCATGTCCAAGGAGATAGCAAATAAAATCTCAACATGTTTTACATTAAACAGCCTCTTCTTCTCCTGTCCTTTTATGAATATACGGGCGTTGTTGGGCACAAAATGGGAAAAATAACTTCAGTTCTGCAATGTAAATTGGAACAGTCGTGAAAAAACTGGAAGCATGGGTTTTGTTTTTTGTTTTTCTCCCTCTCCCCTGTGGCTTCTATACTCAAGGATCACATCCCACCCCTACCCACACCATTCCTGAAGGACATCATTTGTGAATAATGGCCCTGTGCTTGGACATTACAAAACAAGTGTGTCCTTCGTATTTAAATGGCAGTTACACAGCTTCTATGCATCTTTGGGGTTAGGAAAATGTTTACCTGCTCAGTCTGTTCAGCCGACATTCTTAAAACTTTATAGCCAGTTCTCCGAGCCTACTCCTTAGCCCCTGGGAGGCTAACACGGTATATGAACGTATTAAAAATACTGCCTCGAGACCCCGGAAAGTCTGTAATGATGGAATTTTGCCAAGAACTAGAGTAAATCCATTCTGAAAATACCAACTACTGTGTATTTCAGGTCAATCAAAAATGGCACCAGGGTTACCTCAGATGCAATATCATCACGTGGACTGTGGGTCCTCCTGAAATACTTTTGTGCCTTCTTTCTCTGCCACCCACACCCATGGCCATTCTCCCTGTTGCAGCCAGGGTACCCTTTAGGAAATGGAAATCAGATATAGGGCTCTTTGCTCGAAGGCTTCTGGATCACTCTGAATCGTGTTCCGACATCTTGCTCTGTCCTAGAAGGTTCTAGGTGATGTGCCCTGCCTCCCTCTCCCTCTCCATCTGCTCCCCACCTCACAGGTTTCCTGCTGTTCCTGGAACCTTGAAGTCTGCCCTGGCCTCTGGGCCTTTGCACTGTGGTTTCCTCTCCAGGGAGTGCTCTGGGCCCTGTTTCACTTGTTATTCCAGCATCTGTTCAGTTGGGGTTCAAGTCCCCACCAAAGCTCATACTCAAAACAATCCCCACCGTGAAGCAGTAAGTGGGTGGGCAATTGATCTGACTGTGGTATTTGAGGCGGGGCCTCTGGAAGGTCCTTAAGATTAAAGGAGGACATAAGGGTGGCCCCCTAATCCAGAGGGATGGTGGCTTTACGAGAAGAGGAGGATGAGACACCTGAGCAGAGGTGTTCTGCTTAGCCTTGCGATGCCCTGTGCTGCCTGGGAACTCTGGAGAGGGTCCCCACCAAGAAGAGGGCCTCGCCAGGCGCGGCCTCCCAATCCTGAGCTTCCTAGTCTTCACGAGCATGAGCCCAATAAATCTTTACTCTTTATAGATCACTCAGTTTGTGCTATTCAGTTACAGCAACAGAAGACAGGTTGATTTCTTTCTCATTCACAGGGACGTCAGAGGGCCCTCCCTGGCTGCAGGTCTAAAGGAGTCCTCTCCTCCCTTCACCTTCTAACCCTCCTCTGTCTTCTTATTCCAATACCCTTAAACGACCCCTGTAACTGTCCACTGCTGTCCCTCACTGTAGTAGGTAAGCTCAATGAGTCTACCTCTCTGCTGGGTCCCCAGCACCTTGAAGAGTACCTGGCACATAGTAGGTGCTCAACAAATGTTTGTTGAATAACTGCAGACACTCACTTCTCAAGTTGTCCAAACAAACGAGAGAGGGTGTTACACGGGGAAGATGCCGGGAAGCAATCTCTCTTGGGAAGGAAGGGAAAGTCCTGCTCCTCATTAATTATATAATTCTCTCCAAAGCTCGAGATTTCAGGAAGGTTAAAAACTTCTTAACCGCTTGTGGCAGCTACATGCTCTCAGGCCTAATCACAGCACCTGCGATTCTAACGCTGCTCGCTGAGGCCTGGTCTTCCTGTAGGATTAGCCCAGGAAGCAAGCATCTGCACTCTGTTACCCTTGGCATCTTTTGAGATTTTAATTAACAGTATTATTTTTTTCTCATTCACTGTCAGGATTCTGATTAACTTGTAAGTGGGAGTTTTGTCACTTCCAGGAGGTGGGGGAAGGGTGCCGAGGGCTGCTGGGATGCCGGGGCTGCCTGGGGGGGCCTGCCCCACATCCTTCCCTCCCCTCAGGGGAAGGCAAGGCACGAGCCTGGTCACGATTGCAGGCTGCAGTGGATGATGGGCTTGTTGGGACTTCTCTGCTTACCAGACATTTCTTTTGGCCTGCAAGACCTCGGTGCACGTCGGGTCCCCGAGTGTGCAGCAGGTCAGATTGGCAGGCAGCTCACTCTGGCCTTTTGTCAACTGGGCACCTTCATCGAGCATCTGGGCTTCCATCCAGGCTACCTCAGCATCCTGAGCGACCACAGCCTGAGAGTCCATCCGCAGAGCTGGCCTGAAGGTGGGGCCAGCCTGCCCAGGCTCTATTCAGTGTCTGTAGTCCTGCCCTCACTTTGACCTCCCCAGATCTGAAGCTTTCTCAGCAAGTGAGTCCTGGGGACAAGTTCTCTGTCAGCATACTACAGTGACACAGCCATATCAATGGTTATAGCAGCTCAGTTCACAATAGCTAAGCCAGGGAACCAGCCTAGGTGCCCTTCAACAGATGAATGGATAAAGAAAATGTGGTACATACACACAGTGGAATATTACTCAGCCATAAAGAGAAATGAAATTATGGCATTTGCCAGTAAATGGATGAAACTGGAGACAATCATGCTAAGTGAAATGATCCAGTTCCAAAAAACCAAAGGCCGAATGTTCTGTCTGATATGTGGATGGTAACACACGACAAGCAGGGGTGGGGGTGGGGGAATAGAAGTAGTTTGGATTAGACGAAGGAGAATGAAGGGAAGAGGGGGGAATGGGAATAGGAAGATAGTAGAATGAATCGGACATAACTTTCCTCATATATGACTACACAACCAATGTACTTCTACATCAGGTACAACCACAAGAACGAGAAATTATATTCCTTATACACATAGTATGTCAAAATACATTTGATTTCTATGTGTAACTAATAAGAGCAGATAAAAAATGCAGACTTGCAGAAAGACAGACCCAGGTATAAGACTTACTGATTTATTTTAATCCTCTAAACCTTGATTTATCTGTAAAATGAGGATGATGGTCCTATCTAGCTTACAGGTTTTCTTGAGAAGATTAAATGAGACACTGCATGAGTTTCAGAACAGGAAATGTCAGGTATGTTTTCTTTGGTCAGGTGATTTCAGCTCAAGTCTATTTGGGACAATTTCATAAGCTTTTGTCTCTTTGGGACTCAGTTTTTCCTCTATAAAGTGGGCACGATGCCTCTTGTGGTTGTCGATGAAATGACACTTACAAACCCCTAGTCAAACACTGAACAAATGCTAGCAAGTCTACCCCTGGCTGGGATGTTAAGTCGAATTTTTCCAAAAACCAAAATATACACATGTTATCTGTGTCACTCATGAAAAAAAAAACTAACAGAAATATAGAATGAGAAGGACTGTACACTAACAGTGTTGGAATTTATTTTTTTAAAAGAAGAAGAAACAAATAGTGTTAAAATGATTATGGCATGAATGGCTGGACTTCAGTCCCTCAGGGGGAAATAATTTCCCAGTTGGTTTAGAGTAGCAAAAAAAAAAAAAAAGAGGGGAAAAGAAAAAAGATTTGATAGTTATTTCAAAGCCGTCTCCCCAAGGGAAATTAAACCTGAGTTATGGGTTATTTTTCATAAAACCATAGTAAAAACTAACAAGTGGAAAACCAGTCAGAGGCCCGGCTAAGTGGATTCGGACAGGGCTCTTCCTTCCTGTGTAGGAGCCCCTGGGCACATGGGTGTCCCGCCCCTGGACTCCGTTCTCTGCTCCCCCACTTATAACTGGAGGGACCTCAGTATATCCACAAGGAATACCCCACTCGGCCATGTTCCGGTCTCCCTTGCGGGGACCTCCACTGAGATATTGATAGGCTGTCTCAGTCCATGTGACACCCGCTAGCCCTTCCCACCCCCGGCAGTTATTGACCCAGCTACAAGGGTCACAGAGGCAGAGAAACATTTTTATATTGAAGCAGCAAGTCACTGTTTGTAAGTTATGGATTCCATTTTTATTTTTACTTTGAAAATTACTCAGTACTTTTCCAGAAACATGTTTTTAGCCTCATTTATTTTCTGGCCTGTGGGCAGTTTCAAGGGTCAGAGAGTTTCCTATTTAAATCTTTCTAGTACCCTTTTTGGAAATAGAACTCTTCATTTCCACAGGGAACCCACTGCACAGAAGTCTGACTCTGTTCTTCCCCATT